CACCTGGCATCTGCCTCTTTTGGCTGTCTGCTCCAGGAAAGACTTCAAATTTGTTTGTAACAGGTGTAAATAAGAGTCACAAGTAAGTAAGTTTTATAATACAGAGAAGAGTCCAAAACAACTTTTACTGCATGTTCTAATTTGACTGCTTTGGTGCCTTTTGCGATTGCTGCAGTGTGTCAAAAAAGCAAAGGTGGTGCCAACTCAGATCTGGCACACGTGGTTCTGAGTTTTATGAAATCTTTTGACGACCAGTTCTTCCTCATGTCTTCTTCAAACCTGGTTCTCTCAGTTGTTCAGAAGCTTAGAGGTCCCTATTTCACTACTGCCATGCAGAAAAGAAATGCAAGAAAAATATTAAAAGTCAGAAGCCCACACTGCAGTACTGTATTTGCTAGCACGACGTGGTCCCTCCCACCTCAGCATGTGTGGTTTTACTCTAAATACCCATCCTTCAGTTATATTCAGAGCACCCACCACAGTCAGGAGCTCTTTTTAAATGCCATACAGTTCATTTCCTTCAACCCCTACCCCACCAAAACACAACCTTAAACAATGCTGTGATATTGTTTCAGAAACTTGTTCGTTTCTTTCTCCTTTGCCTTCCATTTTCAAAACAGCCAAAGACTCACTGAAGAGAAACTTCACTTGCCAAACCTCACAGAAGTTATTTTTGATACTCTGTGTGTTACTTTCCAGCAGTGGTTTATGGCTTGGCTTAGTGGATGCTCAAAAAATTGCATGAGTATTATTTCCCCTCAGCCTGGACTTCTCATACCTTGGAACATGCTCACTACGGAATACTTCTTACTGCTTCACATTTGCCTTTATTTTTGGTTGGGTTTTTTTTTCCCTTTTTTTTCCCTTGCCTAACTCAGAGGTAACTGCTATTACTATTTACTTAGCTCCCTCCTCCTCAAATTCTTATTTTAGGTTAAATGCAGAAAAATTATACAAGTATTTGAAATTTCTGTCTCTTTTGACCAAACTATTTTATGACAAATATGAGTAGCTTTGTATCCGATACAAACAGTCAAAAAATTGGAAATGCATGAATGTAACTTTTGAGGGCACGGGGGTTTTTTTGGTACACTGACTTTTTTATCTGGATATGTAAATCACATTGTACAAAGTATATGACTGTTCCACTTCTAATTTACACTTGATGTTTCTGTGCACTCTGTGACAGTCCTGGACTGTGGTTATGTCTACACTGCAGAGCAGGGCAGGCTTCAAGGCTGCACGTGAAGCCGGGTTTATCAGCTCTCTGCATTACTTACCTGCCAGAGCATCCTCAAGGCCAGCTCAGGGCTGAATTTTTCTGGCACACCTCCGAGAGGAAAGCCTGGAGAGTGGTGCTCCACACTTGGTGTGCACTGCAGGGAGCCCCGTGTGACACATGGCCAGGCCCTCACCCACAGCATGTGCCAGGCCCAGGCTGCTCTGCATGTTCTATCTGCCCTCTGTGCCATGTCACACACTTGGTGGGGGGCAAAAAAGCACACTGGGACAAAAGGCTTTTGCTTCCTGCCGTGAGGGTGATGTGGACAGGGGAAGCAGGTCTTGGGCAAAGTACTACTGTCAAAGTACTGCTGGTTCTGGTGGCAAATCCATGTGTCTACCTAACACGTTCTTAAAATCTAGGAGGGGAATTCACTGGACCGATGCTGTTATCGCAAAGTAGCTCTTATATAACTTGCTCAAAAGTCAGGAAGTGCCTCTTTTCTTTTTTTTTTGTAAATTAACAAAGAAGAAAAAAGCCATTCTAACTACAGTATGCATGTGAGCATTACTTTTCCCTGGGCAACACCAGTGTTTAGCACTGCTGTTTATTAGGATGCCGGCCTGCAGATCTCACGCGGCTCACGCACACGACTGAACTTCATTACACCACCACCCTCAAACACATCGACTGTGCTGTGTGGGACCACCTCTGAGTGAGGGAAGGTGGGCTGCCTGTGAATATTAAATATTTTTCCGATGAGACTGCAAAAATACTGCTAATCAGTGCCAACTGTGGTGGTGTGTGGTGGTGAGCACACAGAGCTGCTGGCGCTACAAGCCGACAGCTTGTAGCCCACAGTAAGCCAGATTAGAGGCAAAACGTTGTGCCCCCCTCGCAGGCTCTAAAATCCCCCAGCTGCCCTAAGAACAGAGGCTGTTTTGGGGATGCACAGCTGCGGGAGGATCAGCTTCACCCTCCTCTCAGCAAGCGGAAACGTTGGAGCCTTTGGAATGGGAACACGCGCGTTCCCAGCGAGCCACGAGATGGCGCCCACAGCCCCATTCCCGTATCCCTGAACATCTGCAGAATTCCAGCCCTTCGGAGAGGTTACAGAGGATGCAGCTCCTTCCACTTCATCAAAGTCGGAGGAAGCCTGTGATTAGCTGGATGTTTACAAATAAAAGGAGGATCTGGAGACAGATCAAAGATGACTCTCCAGATTTGGCACGATACCGTGTACTTATGCTGACAGCATCTGTGTGGGTTCGACTGTTACATGAAGTGGCTGAACTTGGTGTATCTCATCATGCATTAAAAATGCTTTTTTAATGCTTAGTGCATTTATTAGAAGTCTGAAGATTCAGCCAGCTAAGAACCTGACAAAAACAAAAAAACAACTCCTCCCAGCTAACAAGATCTTACAGGCTCCGTTTAAGAGAAGCACCATTGGGTTCTTCCTCAGCCTGCTTTCTGCAGTATAAAGGGAATCAAAAAGCAAAGATAAGCACTGTTCCAAAATCCAAAGGATGTAGTACTTCAGACTCAGTAAACAGGAGCACTAGCACTCAAAAAAGCCTGTTCTCCAGTGATCTAAGTAGCTTGGCTGGTCCAATCCCACTATATACGCTCTTCACTGGGAAGTCTATAGTTCATCCAGGGTCTCAGTTACTTTGGCACAGCCCAAATGACAAGGGAGAGAAGCAGATGGGAGATAAAAGATGTGGTGTGTGAACTACACTGAGTTAATGTATATCTGTTCCAAGGGACATCTTTGTTTTGACTCTGTCTAACAAACCAACATAGCTTGTGACGTCTGGAAGGCCACACTAGACTATTCCTACTCTCATAGTAGTGCTCTGTTTGAAGTTGGTATTTCTATTTGGGGTCTAAAGCCACACTGAACTTGATCAAATAAACATTCTCCAGAGGAAACTGCCTTTGAACTATTTAACTCTCTGCACAGCAAACTGAAGCTGAAAGAACTGTAACAATTACTTAAGATCTCCAGTTTTTAAGTTACTGTTCATCAGGACCTCTGTCTTTTCTGGCAGTAGTGACTGTGGTAGCAACAGTCACTAAAATCTAAGTAAAGCACAACCCCGTCTGAAAGCAGACTAGGTGGGGCTAACCCTCAGACTTGCAGGCATGCAGACTGTGTCATATTTTACAGCATATGTAAGTGTACACAGCTTCTGTTTAATCTACCTGATAACAATGCAGCACAGAGATCCGAGCGCTCTCCTGAGCTGTAGGGTATACTAAGACAATTTCTTCATCAGCTCCAAGGGATCCTAGCCTGTATTTCCTCCTCCTCCACTACTACTGTATTTATCCTTTTCCCGAAGGAGGGATATTTTAGATTCTGTCTCTTAAAATGTCTCTACTTTGCAATAATTTAATAAGCAATTAAATAACCAATGGTTAGAGAACCTCGATAGTTTGGTAGCTGGGACTCTCTACCAGCAGGTACCAGTAGGAAACCCAGAGGCAGGGAGGGAGCAGAGGCTGAATCTGAATAAATGCTCCAGTGATGACTTGTGTAAAAGGGAGGAGCGTAACCGATACCAGAAGTCTGGTGTATCTGCTGCCAAAACCAAAAGCAATCTATGGTATTCAGCAAACTCTATTTTTAGGCAGTGTATCTGCATTTCCACAAACTTTCATGGTCTTTGTGGCTTTTGCCATGGAGAGAGAGACCTTATGTTATTTTTCCCATTCATTTTCTGGGGAGTCAGAAGCAGCAGTCCCACTGGCGACCATCCGCAATGTAGTGGGATGGTTACCTAAAAAGGGGAGAACAGGAGTTACTGAGTTGTGTAGGTTCAGCTGAACACGTGAGAACTATTAAAAAAGGCAAGTTCTTAGCCCTGGTCATTGCTTTAAAACAGGAAGAAAGCAAAGCTTCCCACTAAGGAAAACCAAAAAAAAAAACAAAACAGAAGGCCAAAGGGATGAATTTTTACAAGAGCAACCTTGTCATCAGCGGAGATGGGGGAGAAGAGAGGGGGAAAGATTGATTTTTGCATCTTTCATGTTGGCAACACTGCTGCTGCAGAGACCTTGGCAATGGCTGACACTGGTGGCACTTTGCCTGACAGACAAGTTGAGAAACCAAGGATTTACAACAGTCCTGACTTCCAGTGGATTTCCTACAATCCACACAGCTTCCAGGATTTGGAGGCCTTTAAGGAATGCTCTCTTTTCATTGCCTGTCAGGAGTCTTGCGATATCTACAGAACCACAAGATACACTTATCTAAGATCATGTCTTATTTGCAAACAAAAAAAGTACACCCCAAAATCTCACTGATGCAAATCATAGTTGAGTTTGAGTGAAAACAACAGCAGCAACAGGACTCTGTCAAAGAGGAAAACCCTTGAACTATTTTTTTTCTCCCACCGGAAAGTCTAGGTGCAGCATTGTTTTTGTGGTTGTAGCTGCAGGAAGATTGGCTATGGTTTCAGTAAGCCAGAAGGCACAGGAAAGGATTGAACCTTTTCATTTTCCTGCAAAGAGAATCAAAGACATTGACCATGTCTGAACATCGAGGTTCTCGGGGTGAGGTGTGCCATGCTGGCTACACAAAGCAGACAGTCAAAACCTGGCCTTGGACCACTTGCTGATTTCTCATCTCATAATCTTGTTATGTTCCCTTGAATACAATAATATGAAACTTTAAAAACATATTTCCAGCTACTCTTATATTGGGGATGTGTGTGAATTACTGAAAACAGTTTCTCTAAAAGCATGAGGCACAGTATTGTTTTCCTGTGTCTTTAATTAAAAAAAAAAAAAAATCCACCCTACAAGACACTTGAGGGCAAAAATAAGTGAAACAAATATCTGATAGCTTTTCTCCTGTAAAATTGGCACTGGTCATTCAAGTACATGAAAAGGAACATGGGGCTGTTTGTTTCAGGGCTGAATATTTATAGTCATGATGAAGTGACTCCTGAGTCATGAGCTCTGTTGTCCTGTTACAAATTAAGATTTGTCTTTCTTCGTGAAAAAAACAAAATCACAATTAATTCCAGATTTGTAGAAGTGACTGTAAAAGTGGCAAAAGACATTTAATTTATAAAATGTGTACTGATTTTTGCCATCTTTCCCCTGCAAAATCTCAGCCTACTCACATGTCTCAAGAATACACTGCACAGCAAAATTTTAGGATTTTTTTGGAAGCTGGAAGAAAACACAGAAAACTGGTTCATAGCCGAGAACTACAGAAATGTCAGCTTTTAAAAACATGTTCCTAATTTCTAGCCTTCAGCAGACTTTATAAAGTCAAATTAGTCATGCTTCATCTTGTAGGTCTTCCAAGTCTGTGAGAAGTATCAAACCAACTGAGAACTAGGGAAGTCAGAAGATTTGATTTTTAGCACTTTCAGATTAAAAAGTACTTAAAAGTCAGGAGCAAGCACACGGGGATGGTAACAGATACTGCCAGCATCTCCCTATCTCACACACGGAATTATCCTGAGCTTCCAGTATTAGACCAAAAATGAGATGACTTTCTCCCCTTATGAAAAGCAGTGAGGGGCAGAGGGCAGCAGGAGAGCTCCACAGCTGCTCCCGGGCCCACAGCTGGAGGGCATGAAGGCCAGAGGAAGGTGGGAGCCGTTCCTGGTGTTTGGCCAGACAAGGCCAAGCTCATTCCTGGCCCCGGGCCAGGCCAACCACACAAGCCCAGTGTCATGGAGCACTACACAGCCTGCTTCGAGAAGGACTGAGAAAGCTCCAGAGCATATTTGCGGGATGAGCTGAAGGCAGGAAGGTTTCCAGTTCTCACGAAGAGGGCAGATAGCAGAGATGTGTCTCATTTGTAAGAAGCTGGGCTGCCTTTTTCCTTATCAGGAAACAGGACATGAATGTAAGAGTTCAGCTTGCCCGAGGATGCTTGGGGGAGACAGAGACCGACTTAAACTCGGGACATACTTTGAGTTCTGGTACAGCTTGCTTAAGCAAACGAGCCCCCTCCCAGCCACTCATTCCTCCCCTCGTGCCACCCCTTCTATTGTGCTTGCACAAGATCTGACACAGAGACGGAGAGGGAAGCACAGCGGGAAACTGGTCCAGCCAAAAAACAGCCCCATAGGGAATAAAAAAAAATCCAGTTTTTGGATTCAGTTCATTGTGAAGCTACATAAATACGTGCTTTTTTTTACAATGGAGAGGGTGGCACACAGGGGATATGAGAGCTGAAACTAATAGGGAGGAAGAAGGGGCTGCCAGGGCTCAAGGTGGCACTGCCTCCAGAAGCAAACTCACGTCCTCACCAGTAGCTGACTCTTGATGGTTTAGCACTAATGCAATTCAAATGCAATGCTGTAGTCAAACTTTTCACATTTATAACAATGTATTTTTAATATATTCTCCAGGGCAGTACATTTTCTGTCTTCAGCTTTGATTTAAAAATATGCTGAATTGTATTTTCACCATCAACTGAAAATATGAAATAGAGAAGACCCCTAACAAAAGCCTCAATTCTTAGAATTCTGGGATGTTCTAATCTACTCAAATGAAGATTTCGCCACAGACTTGGCTACAAATATCATTATACACAAATGTAAATACTATTTGAACCAACAAGTTGCCAACCAGCATTTACAAGTATATATATATTAACATTTGAAAAATCTCCTGTAAAACTGAGAAAGAAGTGCAACAGCTTTTGTGATATTTTAAAGCTCATTCTAGGTCTTCATTAACTCCCTTTTTTTACCTTCCAGTAAATCCTGAAAGCTAAGAGCTAGGCTGGATACTTATAAATTATTTTCAGGGTTGCAGCCCACACCACTGCCAAAATGAGAAAAACAACAGGACAGAGAGAAGGAGAAGGCCTCCAAAAATAAGAAAAGCAAATCACTTAAAAATACAAGTTAGAGAACCCGGCAAATCTTTCTTTCTGGCTACGCCTTGTGCAATGATACACTCACACCCCCAGTTTTAAAGGTCTTAAGTGCTTTAACACTCTAACACTCCCCATAGTGCACTAAGTAGATGCAAAGGAACAATGTTATGTGACTGAAAAGTACAAATCAGAGGAAACAGAACTCTTAATGAAACATTTTTGCTTCCCCTTCAAGAGACAGCAAAACTTCTAGGATATCATAACTGCCATTGATTTTTTTTTCATGCCTGCTTTCATTCTGTCTCCACATTAAATCACTGTTATCATGGTAGGAGCATTGAAACACCGTCACTTCACTCTCCTGAGGATGCTGTCCCATTCTGGGAAGGACACTCAGGACTGGCCAGCCCAAGGCTGCCTCAGCACTCAGGCCATCTCCCCATTCACAGCAGCCAAATTCCTTCTGTCACTGCAGGCCTTTTCTTTAATGCTCCCATGCTGTTCCCCTGCACGCTTTCACATGTCACCTTAAACACTCTCCCCATCTACTTGCAAGCCAGGCTGACTTGCTTATGCCTTAGCATCTTTGATTTGTTCTCTTATACTGCCCTTGATCACTTCTCAGGCTACTTCAGTCATTTTGCTTTTCTCTGTCTACATATAAGTAGATCTGCTCTTAAACTTCCCTGCAGTGTAATTCATGCTCTTTGTGAGCCTTAGTCTGGACATTCATACATGTGCACTCCAAGGTTTTGTTTCACTAGAACAGGAAAAAACAGCAAGTTGAGTTGCAAAGGTTTAACAAACTTATTTTGTTACTACAACACAGCTTGTAATTGCAAACAAAGGTCCTCCAGGGTGTTTATAAAGTTTGGTAGTACACATAAGTACCATCATTCCCAGTTCCTCCATTTAACTTCTGTAGTTGGCAGGTCTACTTACACTAGGAAGTCGCTTTTTTTGGGAAACATTTCTGGGTCAAGTGCAGACCAATACACTGTTAACAAGGGCTCCTGATCCTGAGCAACAGGCTCCATAAATCACCCTTAGCCCTTCACTGTATTCAAGAGTGATCCCTTAGACTGCAGAGGTCACCTCCTCCTTTTCAACAAAGTCTTTAATCTGGGCTGTGCTGTGGCCCTGCAGCCCCTGGGGCAGCGGGGTCGCCGTCCTTGGTACGAGCTCCGCAATCCGAGTTTGTGCCGTAGTGAGCTCATGGCTCCGGCCGACAGCTCTCCCAGCCAAGCTGAGTCATTCTCACTCCGGTCTCACAGGCGTCTGCAGGACATTTTATCCACTCCTCCAGCCACCCCTGCTATGCCACCTTTGGGATTTGCTTCCCACTGCACAGCTCTAATCCTGCCCCGCTGCCGTTGCCACTCCCTCCCACTCAGGATCTCTTCTCCCACTCAGTCTTCCCACTACTCCAATGCCACAAGACTCTCCCACCAACTCCCGCAGTGCTCTCCAGTTCTCCTTCACAGCTTTTCCCAATCCAGCCACAGCTGATATCAGGAGGGATAACATGCCTGTCAGAGAATCACTTTGTGCAGTGTATGAACCCCCAGCTCCTCCCCTACAGCACCTGACTAACTGCTTCACTCTAAGACAATCATTATAGCCAAATATTTTGTCTTTCAAAGAGTCTCATCATCACCTTAGCAACAATTCCAGTGCTAAGAGGTGTTAAAATACCCATCCCACTTACTCTTTGAACCCTTACACACTGAGCTTCAGCCTGGTTTGGAATGGGGAGCATGGAATAAATCCTAAGGGATGAAGTTCTGAATTAACTGCAATGCTGGAGTGCATCCATGGCTGTGCTCTTTTTGGCCCCAGTGTTGATCAGGACTGGGTTGGCTTCAGCATCACATGAGAAAACACAGGATTGAGCAGTTAAAGCAAAACATTAAAGGTCTGAATTGCACCCGAAGCAATTGGTGCCCAGGGCCAGCTGCCAGTTCAGGACTGAGGTGTGGTGGGGGAGCCTCCTCCATCAGTGCAGAAATGCACACATCTGCCAGCCAAGAGAAATCCTAATGGACATTTAAAACTGAATAAATGCAAGGCAATTCATACTGATTTGAATAGTTTTAGTGGAGATTCTGTACTATGTTCATTTCTCTAAACAGTTTAACATTAAAGCTCAATACTCCTCATAATCCCCAAGAAACAAACTCAACTCTGACAGCAACAAGCTCGTGAAAGCCCTGGAGTAGACCCTCAGCTCCTGGCTCCTATTCACAACCCCACCACTGGCACATGGGGTGATAGAGTATTTCAGCTGGAAGGGACCTACAATGATCATCTCATCCAACTGCCTTAATTGCTGATCTAAATTACTTTCCTCCCTCCACATCTCAGTAGGAGATAGCATTACCCACCCTCTCTGATAAAGTGAGATCTGCTGGGAGAAAGTACTGCTAGGTTTTAACTTTTAATCATTTTCTCCACCATTACATATCAGGATCCTTTCCTCCTCCCCCCCATCACAAATCACACACTTAACAAAGGTTTAGACAGCTGGTGCCTAAGAGTCAAAGCCAGTAGTTCTCTCAAAGGCCAAAGTGCCTCACTGAATTGATGTCAGCTGGTACTTAGCAGGATTTTTAAATTCAATTAAATTAAGAGACAAGCTACGCAGATTAGGGCTCTGCCAGAGTCAGAAAGGAATCTTAAAAGGCATAAAATGTCTTTACATTTATTAAGCAAACTCTGCAGTCTTTTCTCGTTAAATTCTTGTTGAAAAACAAAACATTCATAAAGTATCATGAAAACCAGAGGCAAAAAAACTAAGGTTCACATGAGCCACACTCCCCATTCCCCTCCCCACCCAAGCAATGGGACTATCTTCACACCCATCCTGCTTTTAACTTTCCAACACAAGCAGCCAGGCACGGTTCACAGCTAGGCTGAGAATGCAGTCTCCAGTGCACGTGGCCACGCTGCATTCCTAGGAACCCACCACGGCCACTCCTCCCCTGTATGTTAGCATAAGCAGGTTAAATATACCCACAGAGGTACAGACAGTAAAAGAAAGGCCAATGTCAGTTGAGCAGTTCTGCTAGGACTTCAAGTCTGGAAAACGACCACTGTGCTAGGAACTCCTGGGTTATCCCGACAGTCAGTAACTCCCTTTCCCTTTGTGCACTCCCAGTCCAAGCCTGCGAGGTTTAACTGAGCCTATGTGCTCTCACCCTGGGATGCACATTCCAACACAGCCAAGAGGCAGGGGACCAGGACAGCCAGCTCTGTCCTTACGGCAGAGGCAGAGCACAAAGGATTATTTCTTGGCATTGTTGTTTTGTTGGGTTTTTTTTTTTTCATTTTGAAAATTAATTTGGGGATTATGAACAATTATTCTCTTGCACATTAATCGCTGTGATCTAAAATTTTCACATGAAGAAACAACGCATGGAAATATTAAAGCACTCATCTTACGGACATGGATCCGAGAACTGTTTAATAGCAGTCAGTGAAGGGGTAACATTGTGCTTTTAATCTACAGTTTAAAAATAATGATTTGTATATCTACTTAGTAAAACAATAAAATTAAGAACAGAAACTGATATTAGGAAACAGTGAAAATGTAATAATTAAACACATGATGCTTTTCAAAGCTATATACTTAATGAGCCTAAATAGACACCTATGGTTAGGAGGGTCTTAAAAAAAATAATAAAAAAAGAGACTTATTTTCAAATTTTTTTTTCCTTTTCAATTTTTTTCTACTATACTTATGCTTTGCTTTGGTGTTCTCTCTGCTGCCAACTTAATGCTTTTAACAGTATGTTTATGCTTATGTTCTTTTCAAATGCTTGGCATTATAGTGAGATCTCATATCTTTCCTCAAATTAAATTTTGCTCCACATACTCCACATGTATACAGATGAACATCCATGTGCTGCTCCAGTTGCTCATTATTTGGGAATATCTGAAAGCAGACCTGGCATATAGTCTCTCCAGCTGATAAATGAGATATCATATGCCGTACATGGTCATGTTTTCGGAAGTTTCCTTGATCACAAATGGAACAGACATACCTGGCCATGCCTTTGTGCATATCATTGTGGAGCCGCAACTGGCGCTCTCTTAAGAACTGCTTCCCACATGTCTGACAAACAAACTGTTTTTCCTTGGTATGAACGGTATAGTGTTCCCGCAAGTGGCAGCGCTGGTAGAATCCTTTCCCACAAAGATTGCAGAAATGCTTACGTCTGTGATCCCTCTCGTTCTCTTCCAACATGGAGTTCTTGAACAGATCTTGCTCCAGGCAGTTTGACATATGTTCAACCACCAGGTTTTCAGTTTCAAAACGCTGACCGCAATTAGGGCATCGGAAAGGACAGGCAGAATGCTTGTATAACTGTTTTTTTTGAAGGCTGTTCATTTGGAAGTGACTGTCCCTGAAGTCCTCTAGCATCTCTGCAAACATCATGTCCCTTATTTCCGACTGCTCCTCGGGGTTTTCTTCCAAGTCCATTTTCTCCTCGGAATTCCTGACCCCGTTCATGGTCAAATCCTGGGGTTCTCCACAGGTCTGCGCATGATCCTGTAACTGCTTGCCTTTGACCAGTATTTGACCACACTTGCCACAAGCACATATATTTTCTATGTGTTTGGATAAATAATGAGAGGACAAATCTTCCTCGGTGATTGTTAGCCCACAAAGTTCACAGGGAGCGTTCTCCACGTCTTCCTGCACTGAAGAAGCCTTCCTGTTAAGGTGCCGTGGACTTTTCAAACACTTTCTTTCATCCTCGTCCATGGATAAACGGGGCTTTAAAGTCTTCCGAGCATTTCTCTTCTCTCTCATCTCTTCCTCAACGTAGTACCTGTAGAGCGGCTCTTCCTGTTCATCATCCAGGTCGTCATTGTCGGAAGACTCGTTGCAGTCTTTATCCGCCACCTTAATAATATTAAAATCCTTCAGCTCATCTGTAGGATTGTCCTCCGGTTCCATCTTGATGATAATCCTCTTCCTCTCAGAGGCTCTGCTTCCGTCTTCACCTGAGGTCTCGGAGGCAACCGTGCTGCTTTTCCTGCTCGTGATGTTTGACACGGGAGATGAAGAATCGTCTGCGGCTTGGCTCGAATCCCCCTTGTACTTTTCTGTTTGTGTGGAGATCATTTTAGAAGTAGAGTCCTTTTCACTATAGTCTATCTTCTCAGTACTGTAGTACCTGGCACTTTGGTAGGAATGCCTGTTGGTGCACGTTAACACATGCTCATCCAGTAGCTTTTCACAGCTAAAACTAAACCCGCAGCTGTCGCAGGTGAAGCTCCTTCCGAACCGGCGCGAGTGGGACACGCGCTCTTTCGTGTGAGAGAATTTGGACGTGGTGCTTTTTTTGCAGACATCAAACAGTTGCTCGGGGAAGCTGTTTAGCTGCAAAGCTTCTTCGTCAGGCTCTTTGTTATGGGATGTATTCACTGTTGAACTTGGCGGCTCCATGCCCCACCTGTTCGCTTCGCTGCCATTTCTAGCGAGCGCGTCTTCATACATTCTCACGCCAAATATCATTTTACTATTCTGGGTGCTAGAAGCAGAAGATGAACATTTTAAACTAGATGAGTCTGTATCCTGTATATCTTCTAGACATTCGGGTACGTTATATAGCTGTAAATAGTTCATGGCCACTTTAAATTGTTCAAAATTGGCAGGGGCTGTCATGATTTTTCCTAAATACATGAACTGTAAAATAAGATCAAAGCATTCAGCGCTAATCTTCATGTTGCTTAGATTCAGCTGGGCTGTAGTGTGTTGATGGTTCATAAAAAACATTCTAAAATAGGAGCTGCAGGCAGCAAGGACTGCTTTATGTGCCTGAAAATAAATATCATCGATAGCGATGCAGCAGTCGCACAGAAAGCCCCACTCTCTTTGGTTGTTTAGCTGCTGAAGGACATAGTTGCTATGGCTGGTTCTTGCCATCTTGTACTTCGATTATAGCCCTGCACAGAGAAGAAGATATCTGTTAAATCACGAGCACAAAACCCCAAACCTACTTAAACGCAGGGAGGAACTGCCATCGTTTTGCTCTCTAGATCTTCCTATTCTGACAGTTTGCGGTACAGCTTCCTGTCTGGAGACCTTTGCTGGTAACTACTCATGAATACTGATGCCAGTGAAAACATACATAATTCCATGTGCTCACCACTAGACTTACAAGACTAGTAAACTAATAAACATCACCACCACACATGTCAGTCAGAGCTATGCTGCTTGAATATAAATTAGCAAATATATCTCAAAGTCCTCCAGCCAAGATTTGCAGATATGAATTCTGAATGCAGAACTTCAAAAACTTCACAGGGTAGACTTCTGTAAGATGGCCCCAGGACAACACCTATACAAGGTAAGCTGCCTGTCAGAAACCACTCTTCAGTCTCAACTTGCCCTTTTACCTGTCAGTCCAACGGCACATGATGCAACTCATACTCCAAAACAGGCCAGGCTCAAACTGGTCTGTCCCTCCTCATTAAAGGAAACTAAGAGGCATCAGTGGAGCACCCACACAAGCTACTCCACGCATTCTGCTCTTCATGGCAGCTCAGGGACTGTCTCAACCTTCCTGCAAACCAGGAACCGCAGAGTCAAACGCCTTCTGAGAAGCAGAGGGCAGCCCGGCTGCGGTGGCACGTCCCACGTACGAGCCCGCTGCAGATGGTGACCATGCGAGCTGCGTGACAGCCACAGGGGCTGCACAGGCAGGAAGTGGTGCACGCCGTGCCTCCAACTGCTCTCAAAACCACCAGTTCAGAGCGCTGAAACGTTACCAAAACACGTAGATGGGAAACAGGACAAAGAAAAACTCAGCAATGGAGAACTGAGAGAGCCAAGCAGGCCAGAGGTGGAGCCACGGTGAAATGAAGCCTTGACAAAGACTGGGGAGAAAGGCCTGCGAGTGCTGAGGGTTGCTGCATGTGACAGGACTAACTTGTCCTCAGGAGAAAAGAGGAAGAAAACATATTGGTTTATATTAACAAAAATATCCAGAAGAAATGCACTGTATACAGGAGATGTGCGTTTGATTTATAGAAGAAAAACTTAACCAAGTGTGGCCAGATCCAACAGTTAGTCACGACTCACTTTGGAAAACCTTTACTGATGTACATAATCTGTTCTAACTGCACAGGGTGAGGGAGTGACAAACCAAAAGAAGGTATAAAGAACGCCCTAACTGAAATGAAAAACATAAAGCAGTAATGAGCATTCTTAACATTTTGAAAGGTTATCACAAACAATGCAAATAACTGTAAGAGAGTTGTACAAATAAAGTACAAGCTAGGAAATGACATACATTAAATGGCATTTTATGACTCAGTGAAATGCATGGATTGATTTGCAACCAACTCTTTCAACTGTCCAAAATTTAAACACAATACACACACAAATGCTCCCTTTTTCTTCTTATTCCCCTAACAGCTTACATCTCCAAGGGGGAAAAACGGGTAGAGAAATTACAATTACTGTTGAATTCGCAAGTCATAGGCGTTGCCTGGCTCGTTAAGCAGCAAGCCTAACATTAAGTCCCCGTTCTCCATTCCACAAAGGACTGCCACGGAGGAAATGCACTCAAGCTCCCAAGACAAGAGCATGCTCACCCCACCCAGCAATATTCCCTACTGCCAACTCATCCAGCAGTACCTCTGGATCACCACCAGCACAGGACCTCGTCTGGCAACAGGAACCTTGCGATTTGGGCTGAACTACAGCTGCTGACGAGCATCTGCATGGCAGCTGCTCCTCTCCTCTCAGCCCAACCCTCCACACCCAGAACTCCAGGCAAGCACCCTGCCATAATAATTCTCGGACCGGTTTGGCCCAGTGATGTTCACTGTAGAAATGACACTCGTTGCATGGAATTCATTTAATGGTTTTCTCACTAACTCGCAAAACAGCGGCTTTGAAAGTAGGAGAATCTCTGAAACCACACCTTTTCTACAGACATTGATCATTGTCTAGGTCACTGGGTAATTTCAGATATTTCTGCGTAGCAAAGCTCTCGACATCAAGTAATAATAAAAGTGCACTTCATATTCTTCCAAGGGGTAACGTGTTTTGGACTTGAGGCAATTCATTAGATGCTAAATGTAATTCAGTCTACTGTATCAAGAACAGCAGCTGCATAATGACAAAGAACTGACTTCAACTTCCACACTGTAAGAGTGAAAACCGGTGAGAAAATGAGATGACAGAGTCTAAGGTACAATTGACCTCTTGGTGTGAACTCCCAACACAACAAGAAAAGACTCAGGACAACTCATATTAATCTCCCCATCCTCATACAGTGACAAGTTTTAAATTTATTGTTTAATTGTGTTTTGTCTACACTAAAAGTACTCCATCCTGTCCACCAACAGCAAAACAGCAGTCCAAGCAGCGAGCCTGTACCAAAAAGGTGGCCACAAACTATCTGCACACACCTGCAGATGGGAGCATTTCCAAATGATGGGAATGACGAGTGCCAGCACACAAACTCGCCTTTTTTAAGTATTTTTCTTTTAAAAAGGTGAAAGGTATTTCTCCTCCTGACAGAGGAATTCCTGCAGAGCTTTCAGCACGTGGGTCCCAACACACAAAAAAGACCCTTTGGCAATGGTTTCCTCCTGGGAACTCTGGGAAGAAACAGCTGGAGCACGAGGTGGCTTGAGCAGGATGGCAAAGGGCTCAGATGCATACCCGGCTTCTACTGCAGTAGTACTATATGTAGGTATGAAAAGACTGTTTGGGGTTATTTATGTTAATGAAAGTAATGGCATCCTCCCTCTGGATGCTGTATTAACCTGCTGCATGTAACTGTGTATTTACAGCTGCCAACACTTCCCACCATGAGAGCCTGGGTTGGGCTATTTAAAACTTTAACACATTTCAACCAGCAAAGGCAAAACTTTCCTTCTGAATTGTCTACTTTGGACCGATTTATTTGCCCCTCCACCCCTTCCACAGAAAAGGTCAACTAAAACGGTTCATAAAATGAAGCTAAGAAAAAGTTTTCATATATGTAGATTAATATTCTTTTAAAAATAAAAAGTTTCTCTTCCAAAATCTTTGAAGAGACACTTTATGGGGGAGAAAGCGTTATTTCTTGGATACGTTGTCAGGATATAAAAATCTGCCTGAATTTGGCCAAGCTATAATTTTGAGGGAGAAAAGGTAAAAAATACCAGTTTATTCACACTTAAAAATTTTGTTAATTATTAACATCTCAGATACAGCCTGGCTGAGAACATTCCATCCTCTCGCAGCTCCTTTGTACGTGGGGGCCTGCCTGAGCTACCCCACCTGCAGTGAAACCCCCTTTTTGCACAGAGCTCTGCCACGGTTTTAAACTACAAAGAGGTTGTTTCAGACAGAAGAAAGGAAGTTTTTATGATGAGGGTGGTGAGGCACTGGCACAGGTTGCTCAGACACGTGGTGGATGCCCCATCCCTGGGAACATTCAAGGTCAGGCTCTGAGCCACCCTAATCTAGTGGAAGATGCCTCTGCTCATTGTAGGGGGTCTGAACTAGATGACCTTTTACGGTCCCTTCCAACCCAATTCCATGATTCCATGTGCCTCCTCCACAAAGGCAGGAGCTGATAGTAGGGCTTGCTGGAGATTGCTCCACATGACAATTCCCTGCTGGGCTTTATCATCCCTCCAGGTAGCTGGATGGAGAGAGATGCCCAGTTCTGGCTGATGGCGAGCCAGACCCAGAAGAGGATGTAGTGAAAATGCAGGGAGACTGGGAAATGTAAGAAGGATGTGATAGAAAACCTCTGGAAGTTTGAAGGGCAGGGAGAGGCAGGCTGGGAGCGGAGCGCTGAGGCAAGAGGGGAGACTGGGATTAGGAAGCAGCAGTGGGAATTAAAAGTGGGGGCAATGAGGGCCTAAACAGTGGAGGGAAGCTGCTTGGGCAAGGGACTGGGAAAAGCCAAGGTGCAGGTCCTAGGGCAGAAGGGCTTAAAACACAGAGATGCTTTTGCTAGGGAATGGGTGGAAAACAATTATAGCATTCACCCCTTCAGAGCAGGAACTGCACCTCAAATCTCCAATCCTGCCATCCCTCTGCTATCAGCAAGCATCACAGGCTTCCTGACAAACTCCTTCCCAAAGAGAGCAAGCTCTCAGAAAATGATCGTTTATCATTATTTTGTTACTTTAATTGCTAAAGTGGCAGCGATCTGCATTCATCACCCATGTGGGTGGTTCAGTACTGCAAACTATTTTTGAAGTTTGCTTTGGAAAAAAAAAAAGCAGGCATTAGAATAAAAACAGGTCTTTTTACAGAAAACACAAGATTTCAAAGTTAAATGTGTGCACAAGAAATGCTGTAATTAATGCAGGACTAATTCAGCTGCCATTTACATATCATGTATTATGTATATACACATATTATGTATAGATCATAGTAAAACTTCCCTTACTCAGCGCATCCTATGGATCTGTCCAGGCCTGGATATGAGCAGCAACAAGACAAGATCCCTGCTCACTTGGTAAAGCATTTGGAGGATGTGAAGTGAATGGGAGGCAGGGGACAAAAAGGAGGATCTCACAGCAATGAGCATTTCTTGGAGAACATCATCCCATTGCTGCCAGTCCCACAATAAGTCACTTCAACCTTTTTTTTTTTTAAGTCTGGCTCGCATTTTTCAGATGTCCAGTTTATTCACACAGGTAAACACCATCGGCAGCAACTAAGGCCAGTGGGAGCTATTCTCTGTATATATTAAACACCAAGTGTCTTGGAAAATTAAAGCTCCATGCAGGCAAGTTTGTCAATCCAAAATTTTAAATTATTTCTCATCCTCTCTGATTCTTCTATTTTAAAGAGGGGAGAAATGGCAGCCACTTGTCCAATGGACTACCACACTGCCTTTTGTGAAGCATCCCAGTACTGGAGGCACCAACCTCACAAAGCCACAAGGAACACAAGTAGCTCCAACTTCAGCAAGGATTGATTTGTGCAGTAAATGCAGCATGGGCCACACTGTAAGCAGTGCTGAGTAATGCAGAGGTGTTCTGAAAAAATGTGCTAGGAAAGCATCCGATATGAAAATGAAATCTGAAGATATTGAGTTGGGTATTTTCACTCTGATTTTCAAGTTCCAAGTCTCCATATACATTCTATTGCCCTGGTCAATGTTTATTTTTACACGGTCACACTTTGATTCAAGCTGTTTGTCTGCCACTAGATTTTTTTCTTTTGAGACACCACTTAGATGCGCTATTCAGATGTGACTATGAACAAGGTAAGTTGCACTACTACACCAACCAAATATGTTGTTTGTAAGCCTAACAAAAAAGAACAGGTATTTACTACAGCTCCACGCTGTCATTTCCTCAAATTCAAAGTTTTCTGAGATGTTTTGAAACAAAAGAAGTAAAAGATCCTCAAGCAAAGAACTGGTAAAGTTCTTTTGCTGGCTCCTCTGTCTTTAAAACAGACATACCACAAGGTTCAGAATTTAGGAGCCTTTCGGCTCCTAAAATTAGTAGGTGGTTTTCAAAACCCAGCATTTCCACTGCTGAGCACGCAAAAACATAGCGCTTACATTGTTAGTTACTGGCTGCTTTTCTTTGGAAACCAAGAACAGGCTGGACAAAAGTGCAATAAATGAGTGGAGAATTTGGTGCTAATAGAAAACGAGACTGGAAAACCTCAAGCAAACAACGCCCAGTTACCCAAAGAAACAAGCACGTGGGCAGCAGAAAGCAAATCCCCCATCACAGTCTGACACTGTACCCCACCCTGCCACGGGTTCCCAAGAACTCTCCTCCCTAAAGTATTTTGCCTCTGGGGGTCAGATCCACCAAAGAGCCTGGATTCCTAAATGACAGCGTCAAGATGCTGCAGAGAAAATCCTACACAATGTGTATAAATTCTCCATGTGATGCCCAAGGAGTTTAAGTGTTCAGCTACCGCATCAACCACAGAGCTCTCGACAGGCTACAACTTTTACCTACACATAGTCAATAGGAAGCCACTGAGACTGCTCTGGGACTGCACAGTCCCAAGTGCCTCAGTTCACACAAACACTGCAAAACCAGCAAAGAACTTGGGGCCAGGTGACCACCGTCCACCTCAAGAGTGGCTAAGTTCGCATTGCAAGCATAGCCTAGGTCATGAATTAACACAACTATGGGAATTCCATGTACTGCCAGGGAAAATGTAATTAAGCTCCATTATTCAGGCTATGAAGGACTGAAGGTATAATTTACCCTCCTCCCATAGCCCTTCCAATCGGCTGCCTCAGGTGTGCTAGCTGGAAAGATTATTCCAACGATGGAGATACTCATCTTCAGACACATCCTGATGGCTGAATCAACTCATTTTAAACAGACTCCTGGACAACATAGAGAACCAAGTTTTATGGCACTTGAACCAGGGAAAAGTCAGATGTTCCAAAAACCCCCAACCATGAGCTCTTTGGGCTACTCAATCCCCTCCTCAGCCAGCAGTTCTCTGCTCATTCAGCCTCCATGTCCACAAATGAGAAACGGACGTCAAAATTTAGCAAGTTACAATTCTCAACTGCTTATTGAGAATTAGTTAAAATGTGTTACATGGTCTTAGGTAAGAACACTCCTCGAAAGACCCAGGATACAGTGTCAAAAGCTTGACAGAGTAAATTAAGAAAAGGGAGTTTGTGCTAAAGCCCCATCTCAACTTCAAACAACTTAAGATCAGTTCTAGGGAGTAAAAGTACTAGAAAGATCTTATGCAGTCCTTTAATGTAACTTGCTAGCCACAAAGGACTACTCTAGAAAGTCACAGTTATCTTTTATCTGTCACCTTTACAGCTGCCAGGCAACACGGTAATGATATGTTTAAAAGAAACAATTAGTGGGGAAAAAAATTATATCCAATTTATGCTTTGTGGCAAAAAGATGAGCCTTTTTACCTAGGCTCTCCGAGTTACACGAACTTTCAACTTCAGGAGGCATCTTGGTGGTTTAACCATGTCTTGAGACCCTCAAATGAAGTCACAAGTGCCTTCCAGGAAAGCATCCTTGGCTAAATACAGGTCGTACTTCAGTTTAACAACTTGCTGGATGCACGTGAATGAAGCACAGTAACTTGTGACACACAAGCAAACTACAGATTTTGTTGACTCTTTCTTATATATTTCACATTTTACTTTCAGCACATTAAAAATAAAAATAAGGCTACTAAGGTCTCCATCCAATTAAATAGGTTTAATATGGGTAAAAAGGCAACAGCCAGTGAATTCTGGAGTTCTGCAGTGATACAGCACACACAAAGAAAAAAATTACCAGACAAATATGAGGATATAAACGGTCTTCATGCAAATTATGTCAGCTGTTGCGCCCACATGCTGTGTCCGCAGCAGAACTCTGGGTGATGGTGTTTACTGTGCCCAAGCAGAGGCAGGGCAGGACAACCCAACCACTGGGGAACCACTGGCCAAACTGAAAAATGAATACATGGCTTTTCATGCTACACGAGTGTAAGGTCTGGGGGGACTCTACTGAGAGGTCCAGCTGTAACAACTAAGAGAAAGGACACCGGGCTTTTATCAGGTAACTTTCACTATCTCAGTTCTGAGCAGCTATTTTATTTCCATTCAGCAGGTAAATAACTACTGTGGCTTTGTCCATCCTGGATTTTCAGGGCTCTCCACTGTCAGCAAGAACAGAAATCTGTGAAAGAAGTGGCTTCTCACATTCAAGTAAGAAAGCATCTAAAAACACAAATCCCTGGCTGGCATGAGCACCCTCAACATAATCACTGCGAATTCCTGTGCCAGTGACAACAGTGGTTGAGTCTGATGAAGAAAAGACTTGTGCAAGCAGAGCTGAAGCATCTGTTAAGTCTGTGATCTTATTCCACACAAAACTTTCCGGCTACTAGGAAGAAGTGTCTTCTATTACTTCTCTGAGCTTCCCACGCAGCACAAACCCATGTCTTCATTACCTGCATCCAACCCCCGCGGGTCGGTGCCTGCTGGTTCCCTGTTACCTCAAACAGCAGCAGAGTGCAATTAATACTACTTGTTACTCCTCAGGTTTTCTGGCCAGTCACCCAAAAATCTCTCCACAATCTTGTCAATTCGCTGTGCTGCTGCCTAGGAAAAATCTCTGCCAGTGCTGCAACCGCTCGTGTTTGGCCGGTTTTCCCCACGGCCATATGGTCCCAACGCCTCTCCCCCAGTCGCCATGAAAGCTTAAGTTGTAATTTGGTAAAAATGAGAAGCCCGCATCCCCCTGCTCACGGCTGCTGTGTGGGTTTTTCCAAGAGCTGTAATGAGGAATGTTAAACAAACACCTTTAATTAAAGGAATGTTTGTTTAATGTAATTAAATGCCTAAAGAACACACCGCACTGTTGCAACCCCAGATAGTTTTGCAGCGTGTGCTGTGCCTCGCGATACTCTAGTGCGAGGGAAATAATGCAAGTAAATGACATAACCTGCCAGTAAACATCCAAATATTAAGCAGCATCCAAACCATGCTACCCATTTACCAAATGCCTACGTGTCAAGAGGAACCCGCACTCATCTGTCAGCCGAAACAAGCCAAACTTGAGAATGTGAGTTACAAAAAATGCTGAAAAACAGAAAGGAGTAGAAACCCAGCCCCAAACCCACATGAGTTTTCAGTCCCTTTTACTCTCTTTACTACCTTTCTATCCGAACAGAAAAGATGAGTCCTTTGAGGAACGAGACTTTCGACACCGTTCCCAGAGCGGCACGGAGCTTGTTTTTAATGTGACAAAAGTATTCCCCTTCCTTTCCAGCCGCCTCCGAGGCGATCCAGCGCGCTGCCAGCCCCGAGTGAAACCCAAGTCTCCCGCCTGGCAGGGTGGAGCATTCCCCGGGGCTGCGGCTCCGCTCCGTTTTTCGCCGAACCACCGCAACTCGCTCGAAGTTTTGGGGTGTTTATTTCGTAAAGACAAAAGGAAGAGAAGCGGCGGGACCCGCCGGGGAGGGGGGGCAGGGGGCGGGCGCGATAGCGGCACCCGAGACGTTTACCGCGACTTCGAGCCCCGGAGCCACCCGGGCGGCGCGGTGCCCTTCCCTTCCCCGCCTCACGCCCCTGCACCTCCCTAGGCCGCTTCTCGCTCCCCAGCGCGGCATCCCTCGACCCCCGCCCACCCCGCAGGTGGAGCGCGCCTGCCGCGGCCCCGGCAGTGCGGGCGGGAGGGAAGGAGGGAAGGCGGGCGGGAGCCGGACCTGCCGCGGCGGCGCCGCCGCTCGGCCCCCGCGCAGCCCGGGCGGCGCCGCTCCGAGCGCCCCGCGCCGTGCCCGGCCCGGCCGCCGGGCGCAAGGTCACCGCGGCGGCCGCCGGCCCAGGCACCGGCCGCGGCTGGAAAGACCCTACCTGGCAGCGCCGCCGCCGCCACACTATGGCGGGCCGCGCCGGGCCACGCCGCCGCTCGGCACTTCCCACCTCCCGCCGCCGGCGGGAGCTGCGGCCGCCTCCCCGCCTCCCCCTCCCCGGCTCCCGGCGCCGGGCCCCGCTTACCGCGGCGCGGGGCGAAGCGGCGGCCGCCGAGGGGAGAGCCGTGTCCGCGCCGCTCCCGCCGCCGCTGCTGCTGCTGCTGCCGCCGCGGCTGCAACAAAGGACTTCCGCCCCGCCGCGCTGCCGCTGCCGCAGCGCCGGCTCCGCCGCGACCGCACGGGGCCGGACCCCTCCCCTCGGCGGCCGCGGCTCCCGGCGCCGCCGCTGCCAGCGCTGCTGCGCCTCCCGCCGCCAATGCCGGGCCCCGGCGGGCGGCTCCCTGCCGCGCTCCGCTCTCCTCCCATGCCGCCGGGGACGCGGCGCGGCGCGGGCTGGCCCTGCCGGCGCCCCCTCCCCGTGTGCCGCAAGCCCGGCCCCTGGCGGAGCCCCCCGGACCCGCGGCGGGCGCCCACCGGGACCCCGCGCCTGGGCTGTCCCGCCCCGCTGCTCTCCCAGCCTCGGGAATCCGCCCCTTCCCCGCGCACCCGGGCTCGCTCCACGGATCGGGGTGTCTCTGCTCTCCCCTCGGACCAGCGGCGACTGGTGCGGACGGGGAGGCTCCGGTCCACCGTGTGGGTGTCCGGCGCTGGGGGGTTGTACCCGCAGTCCCACGGCCCCCGCGTGGGACAGTTTAAAGGCGAGAAAACCGCTGCGAGCTGCGTGAGAAAGTATCTCCTCCTCGCTGCGATTTCACACGTTCATACCACCGCCCGCCCTCCTGGAGCTTCACGGTGATGCAGGAGCGCAGGGCTGGCAGCCACCGCCACGCTCTGTCACAGAGCCCGAGGACAGCGCTTTTTTTCATCTTCCCAGGAGCTGTCTCAGGCCCTCTTCCCACCAGTCTCTGGACCTCTCCTGTCTGACAGCATCCAGCTCCTCAGGAACTATCCCATGTGAGCAAGTGGGATTTCCGGCCCCTCTGCTAACCTGCCACAGATCTGAGAGAAAACATAAGCCAGGGCAGGCTTTCCTCCCGGTCTTGCCACTTGACTTTTCCACCCCCAAAGTGACATTTGTCATTCAGCGCAAGCACTGGAACTGTTTAATCTGCACAGCTCTATCATTCAGTCACAGTTTCTAGAGATACCTTTGTTTTTATGTTGTTGCAGCTAAGATCCCTCTTACCTTCAGACAGGCCAAAAGGGCAAACTTAATCACAGCAAAGTTAAAAGATATTATTACAAATTTGAAAGTGACAAAAATAACCAAAAAAAGCACCAAAATAAAATGCCATATTGTTAAAATATACCAGCATCCATCCCTGCTTCATTGACCTCTAAGGTTTTCCTGAAGCATCCCTCCACTATTTAAGCAAACAGGACAAATCCAATTAACAAAATCCTAGTCGTTCCTCCTGAGTTTGTCTGGGGATTTTCTAACCACTACAGAATAAAGCAAGAGCTTTCAAAATGTGTCTTTCAGAATGTGTCTCAAAAAAATCCCCTTGTTTCCCTTTTCACTCTGCCACAGCCTTGCCTCAGGGGTGTCGTAGCAGTGCCAAGGGGAAAAAAACCCCTCTGTGGCTGTAAGGCACCGTCCCCACAGAAGGTGGAGGGACCCCCACAGTACAACTTCTCTGTAGGGCTTTTTGTTTCATAGGAAGTTAAATAAATGGCCTCCATAAGCTGATACCATCATGGTTTTCAAATCACATGGAAAAGTTGCTTTTCTCATGGCTCAAGGGTCTTTTTCTCCCCAGCTCTTTACACAACTCAGGGCAGCACAAGCCAAGAGTGCCCATGCCGGGCTTCTGGCACCTCCCGTAAGATGGGGCACAAGGCAGTCCCCCTTTCTCACTGCCCTTGTTCTCTCATGGCCCTCCTAACCATGCTTGCCTTTCCAGTTTACTTTTTTATGTATTTATTGTCTGCTGAGGTGTGTGATACAATCACCTGCGCTTTGTAGCAAAACACCAGATTTCATTCCTTACCATCGCTTCCATCAGTTTGGCTCCCGCTTCTGTAAAGCTCTTCGAAGTCCTCTTTGGACCAGAGTCAACCTAAATAACACGTAAATAATTAATCATTTAAATAAATAACGTGCCATCGGCAAATAGCAACTCACTCTGTACGCGGGTTAATAAATATGTTAAATAACCCAGAGCACGGTACAAAACCTTCAGCCATCTCCTGCCAACCTTTTGGTGGGAAGAAAAGTAGCTACTGATATTTACAGGAGGAGCAGGATTACAACTTCATCATCTCTCAATCCTGCTGCTGCGAAAACACAGGAGGGAAAGACTGGCCCTGAGTCCCGTGAGCTCCTGGGAGAAAGAGAAGAAATAAAACATAGGGCAATGGAAAAGAGAAAGTTGTGCTGGCCAGTGGGATAAGCAGCAAACACTGCATGGATCGAAGTGCTTTGAAGCCTACACCTAATTTTCTCTGAGCCCATCTCCATCCTCTGCTCAGGCTCTGGCCACTTGGAAACAGTCTCATAGACTGCTGGACTGCTGGCCAGGGGCATTATTTGCCCTAAATATTCAAGAATTGCAATTATGGGAATGCAATAAATATAAAAATATCAAATGCTGAGATAAAGCCAAGAGGGATAATCCAAGGTACTGAATGTCTTCTGCAGAGGCTCTGAGGCAGGAGAGACGCCATGGAAGAGGTGGGTGTGACAGATCTTAGAAACTTCACCAAAATCATGACAAAAGCACACAAATAGCAATTTTCACTGCCTTTTCCAGCTGAGAAACAACCTGTGGACATCAAAACAACCTGCTGGCAGCAGGAGGCTGGACAGACTGGAAGTTTAAACAGGTTCAGGAAGCAGTTTGGTAACATTCATTGTAAAGACACCTCAGAGTTTGTACTGAGCGCCAGAGCTGGGGCTCAGGGGGACCCTCAGGAGGGGCTGCTGGTGGCCAAGGGATCGGGGGAGGGTGGCACTGCTGCCTGTGCCCCCTTCTCTGCCAGGCACCTCACCCAGAGCGGCTGCTCTCGCCTAAAACAACCCCTGGTTTAACATCATCGAGAGACGGGGGGAGGCCTGACAGGGAAATGGTGTGTCCACAGGATTCGTGGTGGTTAAAGCAGCCCCGAGGCCGCAGACACTGGTGAGGAAGTCAGATGGTATCTTCACATCCATTCTCATGAGCGGGTGGACCGGAGAAGGCTCCTTCCACAGTTGGTTTTTTTTTTCTGTTAAAAAACCAACAAAAATCCCCCAAAAAAACCAGCCCAGCAACAACAAAAAAAAATCCACTTCTATACCGACAGCCGAGGTGCTCAGCAGGCCATACTCTGCCGCCGAGAAGCAGAGTGCCCCCAGCCCAGGGTGAGCCCAGGGGAAAACACACACCCTCCCCCCAAAAAAAAAAAAAAAATCCCCCCACGGGGGTGCCCACGATCCCTCCCTCCCTCAGGAGCTGGGGCCGCGCAGGGGCCGCGCCCACCGCCCGGCCGGGGCGCGCAGGGAGCGCGCAGGGGCCGCGCTCACTTTTTCCAGGAGAAGCCCATCCCAGCCCATCCCTGCCCATCCCTGCCCGGCCCGCCCCGGCGGCGGCAGGAAGCGCGGGGGGGCAGCGCCCACCCCATCCGCCGGGCGGGCAGCGGGGGCGGGCGGCCTCGGCGCTTCCTGGCGGGTAAGCGGGGGCCGGGCCGGCACGGAGGGAGGGAGGGAGGCAGGGGATGGAGGGGAGGGCGCTGGTCCCGCTCCCCGGGGGCGGCTGCGCTCGCCGCCTCCCTCTTTGTGTGTGTCGTTCGCTTCCCCCTCCCTCCCTCCCCACCCCCCCAAATAATTTTCTGCTGAAACAATAGCAAATATCAGCGTTTATTTGCAAAGGGGCCGCTGGCGAGGCGGGGCGCGGGCGGCTCGGCCCCGCACAATGGGGGCTTTGTTGGGCGCACAGGGCTCCTCTGTGCGGGAGCCGCCGGGCTCGGCCCCGCCGCCAGCCCCGCGCCCCCTGTGCCCCCGCGGGGCAGTGGGAAGCACCACCGGATCAGCGGGAAAACGCGAGCCGGGTTTAAAGTTAGCGCTGGCACCCCACCGAGCGTAGTTAATCGGCGGGAGGAGCAGCTCCGAGTGTTGCTGGGCAGACGGAAAAGTCCCCGAGAGGTTCTGAGCTCATTGAACGTGGTTTTGGGCACCAGCGGTGGTATCGGTAGGAGAAACTATTGAATTGGGGTGCGGGGACCGTCTGGAGGAGGGAAGAAGCTCCGTGACAGGCGCCCAACTCGTTTCAGTGGTGAGAAACCCACATTTGAGCCTCTGGGAGCTGTGTGATTTCTTCATGAGATGAACATCTTGTTCTCTTTTGCTCCCAGGCACACCATGGATACCACCGGCCACAGCATCCTCCTCCTCCAGCAGCTGAACATGCAGCGGGAGTTTGGCTTTCTGTGTGACTGCACAGTTGCCATTGGAGATGTTTACTTCAAAGCCCACAGAGCGGTGCTCGCTGCTTTTTCAAACTATTTTAAGATGATATTTATTCATCAGACAAGGTAAGAACACACACTTCTATCCTCTCAACATTCTGCTTTTTCTCCTTTCTGAAGGCATCAAAGTCTAAAAGAGTGTAAGTGGGGATGGGATGTTAGGTGACTTGAGATTATTTTCCTAACCCAGCACAGGCCTTGGCTCCCTAAACGTTCCCAGTCCAGAACATACTGCCCTTTAAAACCACTCTCTTAGTCAGCATATGGTAACATCAGGCCCTGCATTTTGGAGATGAGACATTTGTGTGACCAGATAAAATAAACATGTAAGTACCACTGTCTTCCTGCAGCGAGAACTTTGCAGATTTGGAATCCAGGGATAACCTGGTACCTCCTCTGTCCGTGTCCACTACTTTGCATTAGGTTGTAGGCAAGCTGGCTGGGTGGGACTGTCCCTTCTGGCAGGATCCATGGGCTTGAAGCAATCAAGAAGCTGTAGACTTATCGCAGTTCTGCATTTCAGACTCTTGCAGATAAGGGCCAAGACTGAGATCATCATTTCAAGTTGTTGTTCAGATGCTTCACCTGGCCAGGTCAGGAGTGGTTCTGCAGGTATAACAACACTTGTGCCAAGGTCTGGCCCCTGACCTGGAGCTTGGTGCTTGCAATGGATTAAACCCTTCTCAATTCCCCTTCCTTTTTGAGGGTGATGGCCTCCAGCACCTTCACAAAATAACCATTAGGATCAACTGTACCGCCCTTTGGCGGGAAGTGAGATGAGTTAACTGCCTTTCCCTGTA